TGATTAGATAATTTACTTACCTTAAAGTAGTAACACCCTGGGTTTTCTTGGTTTTAACCGAATAGTATAGCAGCAGTGCTAAACCAAGTGGCGCTCCAAATAATTATCCTAATTCACCCCGCCCGTCTTCACTGTAGCTGGCAGGCCGCTGCTTTTACACAAGTAATACTTAGGTGAGTAGATTTGTAGGAACGTCACATCGGAAACAATAAGGATTTTACAAAAAATTTTCTTACGATATTGACTCCATTTCTCATGCCGCATCTATTCCCAAACTTTTTTGGATAAGTTGTGAATCACCCTGTATAACCTTTATGTTTGCCTAATCTAATATTTCTAGGTTCTAGGTTTTTTCAACATAATTCATTCACGATGTATGCTATAAATGCAATTTCTTGAATTGTGAACAACATTAGTCATTAGTGAATGACGTAAAAACTACGTACTATTAAAAATTAGAATTAAGTTATCATCTTTAATATACGAATCAGAGTGTCTAAATAAATTCTGTATTTTTATTTGCTGCTCTCTCCAGTGTAATATTTTTGGTTACATAAAAATAGTTTAATAAAAATAATTTTTCACTCATTCTTTTGGCGCAAGACTTCAAATAATAATTTTTCCATTTATTCACAGGTGGCCAAATATCCAAAGACGAAAAATTGAAACTATACCAAAAGTAAATAACTTCAGACAATATAAATTAATGAACTGAATTCAACTTATCCTAAAGACATAAGGCACATTGGTCACTAGTATGTGAAGTCCATCACATTTTAAAAAAGATAAGATGAAATTAAAGGACGGCATTGAAAGGACGACTGAAAAGATAGTCAAGTTTTTATTATGAAAGAAATACATTTCTTCTCCACAGCAACAAGATGGAAATAAAAAACCTACTTACAAACTGAGGACTCTTGACGACATAACAACAAAAAAGTATATCTTTATGCTTCCTCTATCATTAGGACAGCGGTTATACGTGCCTTTTTGCTTATATCAGACCTGGCACTTCGAACACATTTGAGCACTAATGAAGTCCAGCGGTCAGTTAAGAGGTTAAAGCAGTTTATTAGATAAAACGATCTTAATGACAAGGAACGCTCAAATTTTAATTATAATTTGAATTGCGCGCCAAAAATTTTTTTATACAATGTGAATCTGAATTAACGTCGAATTCAAATCGGTATGTAACAATACTTTTAAAAATAAATCAGGGTTTTCCAAAAAAACACACTTATACCAACTGATAAATTTAAAAAAATTATTGTTTTTATATTTTCCAAACTAACGGAGATAACCGAACTAAATTGGTTTTCTTAAACACAAAACATGCTTTTTTTTTGTTAATTATTCCAGCCGTAAAAAGCAGTGTTTACCTAGAAATTATTATGTTAAAAGATAAATTGTTATACCGTAACATTATTTATAGTTGTAGGTAATCATAGTTTTTAAATAGAAAAATCTTTAGCGGGGCTTACTTCAGTAAAGGTACAAAAACAGTTGTTAATGAAAATAAATGTCTTCGTTCTGTCTGCACCTTTAATTTGAATTCTTTGAAACTGAAATAAATAAAATCCTACAGTACAGCAAGAATTTGTACTTATTTGCCCCATGTTTTGCTTTAGTTCAACTAATTAGACAAACAAAACTTGATCCTTGCTGCTGACTGAAAGTTTGTTCAAGTGAAATCAATAAAGGTCAAAGCAAATACTACAAATTGTTACGTTTCCAAGTTATTTGAATGTAATTTAACAACTGCATTTGCTTTGCTAGTTCTATGAATACAGAATTGGTTAAAACTCACAACCGTTTCCTTTAATAAAATGTATCATAAATACTTTATATTGAGATTTGCTTCTTTAAAATTAATATATATTTCCTAACCGATATAGAAAAATAACAGTGGCGGTGGTGCGGGGGGCGCCGCCCCCCTTTAAAATTTTCATAGTAAAAAAGTTTAATTTAAAATTTGGTTTATAATGTTATCCACATAATTAAATAGATTAACATTATGCAACACGGTAAAAAGGAAATTTTAATTTGTATAATATGCAATCAGTTTAACTCGACTTGCAAAATTCGTTTGCAAAACTCCTCGTTGCTCGCCTCTACATCACTACAAGTGTTTACAGCGGTGGTCATGGTTACCGTCAGGCATCAGTGAAAGATGGAGTGGAAGTAGCACATATTTACATTGCAATTCGGGCTCTGTTCAGTCCGACCGTAACCAAATAATAGCTATTCTCCGCTTTTTTTCATAATAAACATAATTTGTTCAGGCGTGGTGTAAAATTTTGTTACTTACATATTGTTTTTTTTTGCGTTTTTTAAGTTTAAATTGGTTGTCGCACTTGCAGTGCTATCTATTGTAAAATCAATGGTGCGAGAAATACCAAACATTAATGAAAAAGTAATTGAAAAGCTTATTTCGGACAACAGCAGAATAATGGATTCTTACTATAAAAAATAGCGTTGAGTACATTTTTCCTATATTGTCAATTTAAAGCTAATCCTAGCTAGGAGGAAGTAATTCTTCATTAATGTGAAATGTGAATAAATAAACAGAGGGAACATATTTACTACGTCCCTAGTAAAGTCCTAGATTGACGAAGAACATGTAAGTCCGTTCTGACGAATGTGAGACTGGAAGGACTATTATTGTTGGGATAATTAATATTTAATAAAAAAAAATATACGGTTGTTGTAATATTTCGCAATATTCTTTGACCATGTAAATGTAGATTCACAAATGCTTAATTTTTTAGGTAACAAGTAGGCACAATTTCATTGTTTTTTTTTTCAGTTACTTCCATTTATTTTAAATATTGTTAAATATAATTAAATCAAAATCGTTAAATTTAACACTTTTTTATAACTGCTAGAATTATCTTTTGAAAGAATCTACAAGATAGTATTTTTTTAACCACGTTCACTTTAGCTCTTCAAGTTTTTGGTTGCGATATCGAAGATCTTTCTTTTTAAGGAAAATAACTTCTTTGCTTTACGTGTTGTTCTTTTTTTATTATTATTCACAACATAATTCTCTACCAACCGTTGGCACCAATCCATCCACGACGAAAAGGCATAAAATAAATGAGACTAACTAAAAAAATCATCTTATAGATATCTTTAAATTAGCAGAGTTACATTCATATGAACTCTTTTTTTTACAGGATGTCCCATCTAAGACGAATTTCCTAAGTATGATGAGGATTAGTAATAGGAATATAAAACATTGGTGAATCTCAATGTCAATGATCTCTGACATTGACCTAGTTTAGTTGAACTATACTTTCACTGTCAGTTTAAATTTAAGCAGAGTCTCATCCTAACGCTTCCGAAAGGAACGAAGGTTAGCCACAGCTGTGCTGGTGAGATGCCATATCGCTTTCGAGAGACGACAACTGCAAATTGTCTTCACACCTGTTATGATATGATAGGATGGTAAATAGGTTTGTTGCATTTTTATTTTACTAGTACTTCTAACTTTATTATCAATTTACGAGTAAGTGTATAACTTTAAAAAGTGATCTATTTCAGTGTTTATCAACGGTATAGCGTATCTTTTGTTTTAATTTTCAGTTCTTGTATCTTATGAAAACGCATGTACATGAATTAAGAAGGAGTTGATATGGTTACAGTCTACATTTTGTCTGGAGACAATATAAAACGGTATCAGAACATTAACCTAACCATGAAGTAGGTACCGACTAAGAAAATGTGTAAAATTGATTCAACATTTATGAGATTATGGGAGTTTTGAATGGCAATACATTAATGTTGGACGGGAACAAACTCAGATAATGAGAAATTTGGAACCAGAAATTTTAAACGCCGTGAAATATGATGAAGATTAGCTACAAAATTTCAAGTGTCATATGCTGTAAAAATCAGGTGAGTAAACTTTACTTACTTTTGTGTATTTCATTTATGGTTTATTGATTCCTGCTTGATTTTTCTGTTAGATTACTTATTAAGTATTGTTTCACAGTTTATCTTATTTAAAATAATTAAATTTCCGCTTATGTGGGATGATAGGACACCTGACGAACACCCACTCAAAAACAGTAAAGCGCTAAGGAGCAGTATCTCACGGTGGGTAGTGTGAAAATTTGCATACATTTGCATTTTAATAACCTTTCCCTTATGAGATGAGACAAACATGCATAGCACAGTTCCTAATTGTCCATGCGCTGAAACTAACGCGCGCCGTTGTTCGAAGTCACACCAGCATGTCCAGCGGCGAAGTATGAAAATTACTAAAAAAAAGTTAAAGAAAAAATATAATTTCATAACAGCCTGATTCATTTATTTCTGCACTTCCGAGAATGAATTCAATAACTAACTCGACATCCATCAGATTATTTCTTTGGAGGACTTGAAACTTCTTAAAAGTTAATTTTAAAAAACTGCAATACTTTGCATCTAGATATTTAGTTCGTTAACGCTTATGGGTTTGATATAGATTTGCTCACTTGTGCTGCTGGAAGCAAATCTGTTGAGTAAAATACAAAAATATTGTTTATTTGTGTGTGAGATGATGCAATTTTGTTATTTGTATATAGCAGTTTGCTACAGATCATAAAAATCATTGATATCTTCATCAAAGTTCAGAGCAATAAATATTGCCAATTTAGTGTATCTTAGAAGCCAATTCTGCTTTTATTGCTTCTAATCTACTTTGTATGGAAGAAACCATTTATACACAATTTGAATAAAACAGAAAACTGATAACATGCATGAGTAGGTAATATTTATTTCCTTCCTACAATGAAAATAAAATTCCCTTTTCAGTGAATATAGGAGCCGGTATGTTATATTGTTTTAAACGTTTAGTCCAATTTAATAAAGGAATCCCCTTCAAATCCTATTCAAAATAAAGCTTGATAAAAGGCGAAATGTGTAAGAATTAGATTAACAGGCTGTTGGCGTTTCCTCCGGGTACGGCACCTTTTTTATGAAATTGAATTCTAATACTGTATTTTTAGTATACTCACATCTAGGAGATGCATCAGGGAAGCTCTGGATGAGGCCTGTAGGCGAGTCATATCCGTCAGGACCTGACACAATTCTGCACTTAACCTAGAGGTGGCCGCGTGACTAGTCAATGTGGCCCTCTTTAGTGTCTCTCCAAGAGCAAAAATCCACATCTAAAAAATATATATGCTATAATAACTGTTCGAAGTAATTTCAAAACAGTTCAACTTCCAATTATATTTGTTACTGTTAAATATGTGTTATATGTGTCTACCAAAGATACTCTTGAACATTTGATCAAGTGTTTCTTAAGGTTAGGGTTTTATAGACAAGAAATCGCACTTTTAGTAAAGCAATAATAGAACAAGTAGATCCATCCAGGAAGTAGGAAGTGACGAAACGTAACACTAAACTAGAGCAATTTCCTTTAATTTTTCGCACTGAAAGATTGCGGAAAACATGTAAACATCAGAAAATGTACCTCTTCTCTTTTGTCCAGAAAATTTGTAAATATACTTAATAATTGTGATTAATAGTTTCCTAAAAACATTCTGTTCTAAACAAAAAATTGCGTATATAAAGTAATCTGAAACAGTGGTATTCAAAGAAGGCTAGGTAGGTGCATACCGGGTGTGGCGTGTATAATCTATATAAATTAAACTGCAGTTTCCTAACGATGTTTGTAATAGAAAAGTCTTATACGAAAAAGTTCTATTTTTGCGGTTTTTTCGTAAATTAAAGTTCATTTATTCAACGAAAATGAAGGCCGAAGTTCAATTATGGATCAAAATATTTTCTCTGGAACGGTCCTGTCCGTGTGTTGTACGATGAGTGCTGTAGACCAAGCGCGAAGAATGATATTTTCTTATTATAATAATTAATAGTAATTAACTATATTAAATGCAAGCAAAACCACATCCGTAAGCATCTGTAGTTGCCAACTGCGTGCACTAAACAAACTCCATTAAAATATGGAACAAAATGAAATAAAACTTACCATTTCTAGAGAAAATGTTGAAATTAATCCTCATTAGCGTGGATACAGGCATGAAACCGACGGCGACGCACCCAATTTTGGCGAATATTTTCCCAAATTCCAAATATTCCCCTAATTATGACAGCAGCTTCAAGTATACGGTTTCGCAATTCCCAATTGGGGTATTGTAAACCAACGACTTCAAGTGACTTCAAAGATAAAAGTCCATTGGAGTTAGATCGGGTGACCAAGGTGGCCATGGCACAGGAACAAAGCGTCCAATCCATCGCAGAGAAAACATTTCATTCAAAAGTGTCGTTACTTCTCGAGTACTGTGTGGAGGAGCCCCATCTTGAAGATAAAACATGCGTGCCCGAACTTGTAATGCCACATTGTCCAATAATTCAGGTAACCGGTTCTCCAAAAAGTTAGCAAATGTTGGTCTATTTAGTCGTCCTTCAAAGAAATAGGGACCCACAAGTACATCACCTATTATGTCAGCCCAAACATTTACCGAGAACCGATGTTGAAAATGAGTTTCCCTAATCGCGTGAGGATTTTCATCGGCCCATATGTGCATATTATGGATATTCACTTCATCACGGGTAAATGTCGCCTCATCTGTTACACAAACATAAGCAGGAAACTCTAATTGATTGGCACATTGCCGTAAAATCCATGTACAAAAACGCATTCGTTGATCACAATCCGGGGGTAAAATCTGTTGAACTGGTTGCAGATGATAGGGGTGCAACAGCTGGCGCCTTAAGATGGTTAATTGTGTGGTCTTCGTCAAGGTTTTCCAACACTGCATCTTCAACATTAAGGTTCACTTGCTGACCACGTCCTTCTCCTCGAGGAATAACACTTCCCGTATCTCGCAGCCGCTGAACGCAACGCACTGTAGGATTGTATTTGCGCGTGGGGGGTGACGTTGTGGCTATCGTTCCCGGCACAACCTAGTCGCCGCGAGCGCATTTTCTCCGGCTGCACCATATACTAGAGTCGTTTCAAAATCTCATGAGCTGCGAAATGCGCGAAAGGTGTAGCGTATCCGCATAATTCTTCTAATAAGCACGTTGTGAAAACATTGACTCAGAATTAGACCATGTGCATCATTACAAGTAGAAATGAGCTAAGGGGCTCGGGCATCAATAAAGTCAACTGGCGTTCGTTATATATATATATATTTATTGTTTAAATTAAAATAATAAAGAATAGGGCATTTTATTATGATATTTGTAATCGGAGCAAAGGCTTGTTTACGCTACGAGAGCTCGAGATAGACTGTGAATAATGGATGTAATGTTTTTAGGACGTAGAACAATTTAGGCGACGCGACGGTCGGAATTATGTTTCTGCGCATATGAAGGTCAAAGCTCATAAGATTTTGAAACAACTCTAACACCATATCGACAGGTTCGGAAATAGTAAATGCATTGTTTTCTCGGTTCATTGTAAAACTAGTTTGTGCACAAACTAAAAAATTAAGCAAAGTAAGAAATAAGAATCTCGTTTTCAATGTAATCGGCACGCTATTCTTATTTTTTACTTTATAAAAATTACACTATCACTATAGTGCAATTACAAAATCAAAGCTTTTTATCTGGAATCTTTCACTCTTTAACACTGACGGGTCGATGGACGATGCTTAATATTTAATAATTAAGTGGATAATGAATTCAATACAAATACAAAATGTTGACTGCACAAACTTTTTTAACAATGTAACCTAACCTTTTTTTAGTATTACTAGTATTAGATTATACCGACCTAAGTTATAAGGTTGCATCTCGGGTTACACAAAAACATTTCCAAAGTTTTTAATAAATAACACAGGGTCGGCTTTCATTTTCGATGAATAAATGAACTTTAATTTACAAAAAAAAACTCGAAGATAGAACTTTTTCGTATAAGACTTTTCTATTACAAATATCATCAGGAAGCTGTAGTTTAATTTTTATAGATTATACACGCCACACCCTGTAGAGGTGAAACAAAAATTAAATTAATAAAACAATTTCATTAGTTTTGAGTATTTCACAATATTATATAACTGTTTATTCATTTGCTTATAGAATAAAAATTCCAACTAGCTTAATTCAGTAGCCTTGTATGCTCAAGTTTTTCGTATACTTACCATTAACCAATCTATGTCTAAATTCCAATGTAAATAAGTATTGATGGTAAGAGGTAACAAAGGAATTAGGCAATGAAATAAATAGTTAAAAAAATACTATTTATATGCTATCTAACATCTAATCCTAACTTCTGGCCTACTAACTCCAATTTAAATCAACTATGAAAGTTAGATTTACATTAGATTTTGGGCATTAAATGTGCGTTCTTTTGAGTATCTAGTAATCAATATACCTACTAAGAGAGGATCAGTTAATCAGTCACAACAAAAACATGATAAACGGATATTTTGTGAGGAAAAATGGGATCGTGTAGGCATATAAACTTGTGTGAGATAAGTATTCCAATGCGGCAATTCAGCAAAGATGAAATAGAAAAGAACTAACGGTATGAGGATAAAATAAATACACAATTTTAAACACCACGATGACTAGTAAAATAGAACTCCAAACAATTAAAAGTTACCAGATTAAATTAATCAACAGATCACTTTTATTAAACTTAAATTAGGAACACATAAAGGAACATTAATTAGTTTGCGTAGTTGCACCAAATTGGAGGACAATTAGAATCAGCGCGATCAGACAACATTCCATAAGAAATTCTATTAATAAATCACATCCAACTTGACTGGACGTATTGAGCAAGCTGTTAATTGAACATATTGAAGATCGAACTTGTGTTATCTCTCAGGGAACTACTCTATAAAATGAAACTGTCGCAAAGTATATTTCTTTACTTGAGGAAGTTCATACGCCATTTTTTGCCACAGTAACACAATTATTGAATAATCGAATTAAAAAGTTTTCCGTTCCGAAGATTTCTTATATAAGTTCATTTTTTGAAAACACAACTTTGCCAAAGAATAGCAGAGTATTATTATCTGTTTGAGTATTTCGCCTTCTACAAGAAAGAAAAAATAATTGAATAATTCCATGTGTCAGTTAAAGGTTGGGATTTAATGGAACCATTTTTATAGATGTGATGGAGATAAGAATGTATAAAGTAAGAATACGAGTAGAGTGGATAAGAGAAAATATGTTTTTATTTTCCAATTCATTATTGAAAAAAAAATTGCTAATTTGTGAAATGAGGTTGTCCTTGAAAATTTAAAGTTTTCATGTATATGAGGTCATTTCTCATTTTTTCTCAAAAACACACGTTTTGTTCGTTCGTTCTTTTATTTTCGACTGTTTTCTATAAAAATGAGGTAGCAGCGTTTTAAATTTATGTAATTTCAGGTCAAACAAAGTGTCGTATAGCCTCAGCTCGGGTAGTAAAAGCCCGGCGACACATCCCAAGAATTCATGTTTAACACTAAAAGCAGTTGAAGCATAGAATAACCCATTAAGACGTGTCAATTCTCTAGTGAACAGTTCACTCTTAAGGTCTATTTACACACATCAGTGCCGTGTCAGTTCAGTATCAGTGTCAGTGAAAAATAAAATATCGTTGCCTCAATAGAGGTGTTCAGACACGTCCGGCACAGTGCCGTTTTTTACCATCACTGCTGCTTCAGTGTCCGTTCCGTGATTTTTAAATACGTCGGCAACTATGAGCTGACGTTATTATATTGCAAGTTGTGTTTGATATTGTGCAAAACCATACTTATCGTATCAACTTCGACGTCACCTGTTACATGGGCCTTGTATAATAATGAAAACGTAATATTGACAGTTGGTAGAAGGAAGCGCAAAAAACAAACGCTTATAGGTGGGGAATTCGCGCCCAGTGAAAATATATAAGTAGTGAAAAATTAAAAATGTTTAACCCGTATTAAGTACTTTGTTGTTAATTGTTCTATGTAATCTTATGATTGTGATTATTATAGATGTTTCATGATAATAATTCTGCATATCTTTAGCCTTCATTGTTTTATGCTCAGGGGCGTATATTTTTCTAAGGTAAAATTGTTATTAACGATTGCTCATTATTTATTACATGTTAAAATATGTATATTGTCGTGACCGCCCGGATATTGCAATAACGACTTCTTTATTTCACATTTAACTTGTTTTACCATGATTAAGTTGTTCTTTGATTTCTTGTGCTCACTTT